AAGTTTGAAGCCTGCCACGGGCAGGCCAGGCCTAGAAAAAGTAGGCCTGTTTTATGCTCTGCTGTTTAAAGCATTTATATTCTGGTTACATCTCGATTTTAGACTTCCTGAAATTGTTAAGCGTAGAATTTATCTCATTGTAAATATTATATTGTTTTTGTTTTGCTTGTTTTTAATCATTACATGGTTAATATAGCAAAGATCATTTGGCTGTCAAATCAATTTTCGATCGAGATGATCTTTATTTGGTCAATACTAGTGAGTAACAAACAAGTGAACAATAGTTTGATTTTCGGGTCTTTATTATTTTGATAGTGAAGTTTTAATGCAATTAGTTGATTGTACAACTTTTGCTTTTATCAATCAGAGAATTTCGAGTATTCGACGTTTCTGAGTGCAAGACCTCACATAAAATTGAAAAACTAAATATCTTTTTGTTGAAAAACAGTAAAAATATCATATTCTAAGAATAAAGTCTTGGTGTTTTTATTCACCACGAGTACTCCTTGAAATGAACGTTATCTTGATTGAAAAACAATTTAACATCTGAAGAATATCCTTTGCATGCTATCGCATCGTTCATATGCCTATACTCTAGATTACATTAGTTTTCAACAAATTCTGTTCAGGATATGAAAATTTCGAGATATGTACTCATTTCAATGAATAATATATCTTCAAACAATTAAAAGATTTTAAGTCTATGTTTTATTTAATAGTAGGGCAGTCTCTGAAGAGTTCATGCTGAAGTTCAGATTTGATTAATATATTTACTTTTTAACGCATTTTTTTCTGTTCAGATTCAACTTTTCGAGAGAGTCTTATTATCTAACTTCAGGCTGAATACTTTGCTTCCATCAAGACTATCTTATCCACAAAATTTCAGAACTTGACGATTTCTTATTGATTCCGTTTAAAACTATAGAAGTTGCATGTCTAAGAAGCACTAGATCACAAGCTCCTGAAATTAGATACAGAAGTCAACGTCACTGAGATCTTTTAATAATGAACTTTACCATCTACAGAATAACGTAAAATACTTTCATATTTATCAATATTATTTTAGAGAAAAAGAGTATTCCCACTATTTTATTTTTCTTTGAATTTGCATATAGGTACTTTTATTACATGTTCAACTATCTGTTTGAATCGTTGTATTACGTATGAATTTCATATTTAAACAAAATCAAAAAATAATTTTTTTTCTTTTACTTTTCTACGAATTCTTTGTTCATTTGTGCCTAATTGGATATGCCGTTAATAGATGATAAGTGTAGATATTTTCAGTAAACGGTTTTCATCATTAATTCAATACAAATGACTTGCAATCGTATCTAATGAAAAGGAAAATTTTGATAAACATTCATAACTAGATGAATGGGATATACAATATGTATATCAATTAGCATTTTACAATTTTCATCATTCATGTCAGTTAAATCAATAGACACAACACGTTTATTACGATTCTCAATAGCTTCATGTCCATAATTAGTAAAATAAAGTATTTCAACCGTATAATTAATAGTAACAGTTATTAATTGAGTTGTATAATGTCTATTATTGTTATAAAACCTATATGCAATTAAAATTTTTTTTGTGGAATTTCGAAGATGATGAATTTCATCTACTTCAGATGTTAGAAGATCATCTGTTTGATTTGTACTTAAGTGTACTTAGTTAATGAAAGACTTTCTATTAGAATGCAAAGTATCTGAGAAAAAGATGCAAGACACATGCTAAAAATAATTTTTTTTGATAGAAAACCAAAGATGAGTAATAAATTATCTATTCGATAATAATTCTATATAAACAAATAATTTCTCGTCATATTTGGTAAATCATGATATGATAGATATGTTATACTTATCATTAGTTGTCTGTTACACTGCGTTATACTGAACGAGGCGAGAAGACGCTAAATTTGTCGAGTATTTTTTTTACCTGAAACAAGACTTACACTTTTGTTGATAAACAAGAGTCTAGTTTTATGAATAGACCGAACCTAAAAAGATTAAGTTGATGAGATGTAATGGATATTTGATCTATGGATGATTTTAAATTTTTACTAATACATCTTATCAATCCTTTTAGAGTATTATCTGCATTAAAAATCCAATTCTTAGTCACCACGACTTGTATTATTTATACAATGATCAGATGAACATTTAAAGTATCCATTTGAAAATGTTCGAGAAGTTAGTGTATCATCTCTATCCTGATCATCATCACATAGTCTAAAATTAACAAAAAAAAAAGATTTATATAAATTTTTGGATTCTATTGAACATTGTTTTCAAACCATTTTTGTAAAATGCATCGATCATTCAAACATCAAAATTCATCCTTCTTCTAGCTCAATAAGGAAACGAAAAATTCGAAGAAATGAAAAAATAATTATCATCACAAATTTAATAATTTGTCTTTTATTTAAAAAAAGAAATTAACCGTCGATAAACATAAACAAGCTTGTATTTGTAAATAAGCATATTATGATCAAAATCTAAACGACCAGAGAAGTCTTCGAATCGACAAATCACTCTAGATATAGAAAAGAGTTTGTAGTCTTAGTAAATTACTGTCGAAATTCTGTATTTTCATATTAATTTTTAAATGTTTCACTCAACT